CGCGAATTATATTGTATCTAACCAATAACCTTTTCGGTAGTTGGGTTTCAAGATCAACCCTGCTTCATAAATAAAGTTGGTATTTGTATCAAGCTATTTCCTTTGGATGGAATCGAATAGGATAAGAATGGACCATGGCGGGCCTAAGATTGGTGAGTGTAAGTGACTGCAGATGTACGCGGCACCAACGATTTAACGTGTCTTCCGAAGCATAGAAGAGCTTGAAATAATAAATTTTGGTCATCCATTCTATTACCGCTGGCTTGGCTGGAAAGTAGCTTAATTTCGGCATGGCAAACCAAACGCACTAACCACTGCGCTATCGAAATAAAACTTATTATTTATTGATAACAAACTGAACCGGCGAACTCCGTACCGCTTTAGAATTAAATCTATGTTCAATAAAATTAATTTCTGGATGCATCCTGTCTGACAGTTATGAAGAGTTAGTTTCGGAAATTAAAATTGTTACCCTATTTTTCTTGTAATTTCCTCACATTTTCTCTCATTGGAATTATACAAATATTTCAAACCAAAATTTGCAAAATCGCTTAAGACACGTACTTGTGTCACTACGTGTGTGGGAGATTGATTTGGCCATTCATTTAATTTTGAAATGTTGTTATTTTCTTTGACATCTTCATCAACTTTATTATTATAAGGATATTGCTGTATCGATGTTGATATATATGCTTAAACACGTATGCCTACTAGCAATCTATTACTATATTGCAAATAAATAAATAAATATTATCTTGGTAAAATTTCACTTAAAAGTTCCCTAGAGGTAGTTAAGTTTAAGAGAGAGGTTGTATAAGTAGTATTTTGGTATAGCAATCTATCATTATCTGTGTTTTGAAATCAATGAAAGAACAGAAACTTGTAGTAAATAAATAAATAACTCGATTAAAGAGATCCCCAGCATCAGATTGATATAAGAGGTCTGAAATTAAGACAGTGACGCCGCACAATTTGCGCTAATTGTTTACAGCTCATCTAAATATAGTTTCTTCAATCAATTTGATGGTTTTGCTGAAGAATTTCGCTGCAGCTGCTATAACTAACGTCTGGTGTAATTTACGACTTAGTTGGGGATGATTACATACAGTAATAGTATTCATTATAATTCGAATGTAAGGCATTCCGTTTTTTTTATGAAATATACGAGTATATACGTTCCATTTATCTTGATGCATATAAGTTTGCCTATAATTACCTACTTTATTCGTTGTTCTACCTTTTGATAATACTATGCATGTTATCCTGTTGTTTTCTTTTAAAGACAGATTTTTGCATTGCTTGGTTATCCTACAACAATACCCTCTAATGCTGCGACTCATCTCTGTTCGACGTTGTATATTATTTTATAAAGTAAAAGTTATGAATTATGATTAAATAAATAATAAATATTAAATGAAAACATACTTATAATTTCCTACTGTTCTTTGTTTTTTCAAATAATAAAGAATCGTTCTCGTTGGATATATACGCAAACATTGGTTTTATTTATAAGAAGAAATTGTAATAATAACATCCATTACACGGGTAAATTGTATTAATACGAGTTTTTTTTTCCAATATTTAATGTTGTACTATCGAAAGCATACTCATAAGAGTTGAAAATGTTTTATCTTGAACATATGGTACATACTTACGATCTGATTCTAGTTCTGGAAATTTAATATTATATTATATTATTATACCCTTGATCCATACAGTTTTAGCGTAGCATTAATGGCTTGCTTTGCATTTCCTTTTTGTGGTCTTCATCGTTTATGTCCCATAGCAGGTCAGTAAACTAGTAGAAATTTAATAATAAACTCGAAGTGCAACAAAGTTCGATAACTAACCACTGTTGTTACGTTCAGAGTTAGCTATCATCAAACTATTAGTTCGTGGTCAAAGTAGTTATTTTTTTTTCATAACTGAAATTGCATAGATCTAACTTTAGGTCTACAATGAATCCAGCGCGACTAACAAACTTATATGCCTTTAGTTTTGTTTTTATTTTGGGTTACTCGTAGGACCATGCTACACTACCACTAAGTTGTGGGATCTCTTATATTGATTGATGGGAGTGTTATGAGAATAAATACTCATGTGTACGTCTGTTCACAGACAGCTCTATGATAAATCGTTTCTAGACTTGTACTACGAAAACAGAATAGCAATATTCGTTATAAAATTTCTTGTTTTAGACCTTATTTTTGAGCAGATAATACTGTGAAGCGGAACGGTTATCAGATTATTGCATTTATGTTTTCTGAATATAGGCCCTGTTGCATCACCTGGCGGCGTGTGGAAATCGTTGACGTCTATTTTCAATTAAATCACATTAGCTCACTAATTGGTAGTTAATTTGATTCTGCATTTTTATGTTTACGGATTTTGTCCATGTCATAGTTTTATTTGGTTAGTGTTAATGTTTGAATTTTTGATGGTCGTGAGAGGAAATTAAACATTTAGTTGTTTTCCAAATTTTTATGAAAGATGTTCTCAAAGTTAAATACACCAGACTGATGATATTTTTATTTGTCGATTATAGTTGGGGATTCAGTATTGCTCATTGGCGTTTCAATAATATCATTTCTGACATTGCATCATAATATTGGGTCTGATGATTTGTTAAATTCATTAAATTACAATTAACATGTTAAAGTTAAAATATTCTTTATTAAAATAGACTTCTTAATAGTACTTTTGAAACATCCAACATTTTTTTCTCTGCCACTCTTTAAGTTTCATTATTATATTAGCAGAATTGGAGGGTCTCAATTCTGCCAAAATATCGACGATTCTCACTTTATGTATAACATAACTTTAGTTCTAGTATATTTTTAGATCTTATGCGGCCGTCTGCATATACGATATATCGTATGGATACAAGCCGACGTATCCATACGATAAACCGTCCGCAGACGGCCGCATATGGATCCATGTCTTTATATGCACATGCATATTTTATAAACACGCTAAAAGGTTTCTTAGAGGTTGCATTTCGAGATCCTCGCTGGTCAGAAACTATCTTCATAAATGTTATTCATGAAAAATAGTGCCTTTATAGACGTTTTTCACAGTTAAAATTTTCACGTTTTACGAATAAGGACTTTGGCGTTCATTTTTTTCTAATTATAATAATAAACATTTTTAACAGCGTGTACAACATGATGATGGTTTGAGTTTTTCTGATACACTAAAATTGGAGATGTGACTTAAAACATGGACGGAGTTCAGTAATATGTATTTTCTTCAAATGATGTTCTGCGTGTGACGTCATATTCAATAAAATAAACGTCATCTCTTTGTTGCGAGCACAAGCAGTACTTCATTGTCCAATAGAAGCTTCTGTTTTTTCTGGAGAAACGGTGGCTATCTTAGAAGCCGTATCCTATGTACTTTCACAGCAGTTGAATAACACATTCATCTTTACCGACTCAACAAGTAGTTAAGAGGCTTATCAATTTTTTTAAAATACTTTCCCCAAAACACTTAAGTAGCGAATACCTCACTTCGTTATTCATTCAATTTTACCTCAAGCTTCTGACAATTCTAATTAATTGAGCTAATCACAACTCTCCCTTCTTCTTGATGAGCTTTAATTTGCGACCTTTATACTTTACCTTTAACAATTGTTATTACTCAATTCGCCAAATGAGAGTTGAAATTGTGCAGAAACTTACAGATTATCTGGCTTGTCGTGCGGCCAGCCAAGAAAACGAATCAATGAATGAACTTCCTATCTAATGAAAATATCGCTAAGTCAGGATTCTCCGTTCGGTTTTAAAATCTTAAACAAAAGTTATTATAATCTTTCGAACAGTTGATAATTACAAACAGACGCGGGAGACCTTATCATTATGATATACATATAGGACTTTGTTTTCGGACAGATAAAGTATTTCATTTTTCGTCTTTATCCATTCGTAATTCACTATCGTTTTATAATAACAGCATTTATTATTATGTTAAATTATAATATTCCGAACTTATTCATACAATAAGAGAGCTTGTTAGATCTGTCCCAAGGCTCTTTCTGGCATATAAACCTTTTGAAAAATAGGAAAGGAAGGTATGAATATCGTATAAATAGGAGCGATCTTATTGTGCTTCTATTTTTACTTAGAAATAATGAAAGGGTAAACTGATAAGTATTAAACCTTCATTCGGCTTCGTTTGATCAATTCCATTTATAATACCAATCGAATACTTATTTATAAGTACAAAGGTAAAATTGATTTACTAATTAGCGCGTCATTTGCGGTTCAATTATGCTTTATCGTGAAATCGTCGTTATATTTCCTTTTATTTTACATACCTACTGCTAACGATTCCTTGCTTTCATTATTTTTCTGTAATGTTTGAGAACATCAAAGTATAATATAAGATTATTTAAATTCACTACAAAAAAGGCAATTCTAGGGTCAGTACAAATCGTAGTCCTTCAAGTGTCTCATGGAAGTTAGCGTTAATACGCGACTATTAAGTGAGCAAGATTGAATGTTTTTCCTTGTTAATAAACTATCCGTAAAATTAACAGTATGGAAAACAGTATTTGAATTTCCATTGTTTTTTTTTTAAATTAATTATGAGTTTTGGATTTTCTATATAAATAGGGAATATCCAATTTAGGAATAAAATGTTGCAAAGTCGATACACTTAGCCTCTGGTGACACTTATAATTTAAAAACTATCACGTCACAGGTACCTACATAACGGGATAAAGACGTGGCAATGAACAAGATGGGAATTATTTATAATATGTTCTATAATTTTGGAGGGTATTTATATGCTCCAAAAACCTGTACAATTTTTTTTGGTGCAAATGATAAATCCTTTGGATAATACACTTAGAACGTTAAGTCATCGAGTCTTTGTCCTGTCCAAGGCTTTAACCTTGCACATGCAGCGGCCACGCGTGTCCCCAGATAATTTGCAAAGTTTGTAATTGTATTCTGATGTTTGTATTCTGAATTGTAATCTGATTGTGATTATTGTTGCAGCAACGGACCGGTAGAAGGTGCGTACGGGCCGCAGCACAGCCCCGTGTCGCGGTCGGACGCCTCTACCGAAGACGCGGAGCTGTCAGCCGCGCTCGCGCATCAACACCATCTGGCCATGCAGGTGAGTTGTATGTTCATCTACGAGGATTAGCGAGCAGAAACTCGGATAGTTTGCGTAGGCAGAATTAATAAGGTATAATAATTACATTTCTACATTTAACTTGCGCGTCCTGCAATCACTTCTTGGCAGAATATATTTCAAGCCATCGCTTATCTATGAGGTACTATATTTATTATAGCGTTGTTAAAATACTTGCTTCTTTTCATAAGCTGTACATAATTATATTTATATTAAATATATTGAGTAATAATTTTTGTATTAAACGTTAAATAATATTTGGAGAAGCGCTATCAAGCTACCTTTCACTATTGTTGTTAAGTTGTTCAAAAATGTAACAAATTGCCCTCAGTTATTTACGAGTGCAGATGAAAACATTATAAAAGCAACAGCTTTAGTTGCTATACATCAACGATATCCGAAATTATTCTTACTATTTCTGTTCTTAACCTCTGAACAAATATGCAACGGCTGCCTTTAATGTCTTCAGATTTGCTCTATCTATATAATGCCATTGAGAAAATATCTAAAGAAGTGTAGTAAATTAGTAGGATTCATTTGTCGTACGTTTAGACGTTTGTCGTACGTCTAAAAGCGTTAAGGCCTCAAATAGGTTTCTCTTGCCGTACAAATCACTGGTTCTTAGTCAACTGGAATACTTCTCTAGTTTGGTTACCCTAATATAGCATTCACGTTGACTTACTGCAATCAATCCAAAGGCGTTTCCAACGGGCTTTACAATGCTCGGGACCCATTTTTGAATTATTTCTCTGGCGTTAGAAGAGCTAACTTCTTGCGTGTGTAGCTCGGTGGCTTAGTGAATAAGAGCCGCGGTACACGATCGTTGTTAAGCAACTTTCTCTAGGGTTGGTCACGGAATGGATAACCAAAAAATTATCATCTCGATCTACTCCGTGCTTCGAAAGGTACGTTAAGCCGTTGGTCTCGGCTGCATTTGTAGTCGTTAATACCCTCCAATCCGCATCGGGACAGCGTGAAGGGTCATGACCCAACCTTTTTGACTCCTCCTCCTCCAGTGGGGACGTAAAAGGGCTGATGATTATAAGTTCGCTAACTTCTACAAATTTTCAATTGATTCCATACAACACCCCGTTAGGGAAATGATGATGCTAGAAGAAATTTAGCTTCAAAACGAAAACTTTTTATACTATTGGCTGTATTTCGTTTTACGCCGACATTCTGCTTATGCTCCATAGTACAAGTATAATATTTGGCATTATATTTGTTTACGGTATTGAGATGAACCAATTACAAAGACTGAAAGACAGTGTCGTGGAGCTTTACTAGTCTAGTGGTGACTTTTGTTGTTACGGGGCAATACAATTTCAAAGGAGTGCTTCAAAAATTGTTCTGGCGCAAAGAAGATATGATGTTAAATCGAAAATTACGAATTACAATGAACGCAAATCGAAGCTCGTATTACGTTTCTATATGACATTCTCTGTGGATCAATAACTACCGTTCACCTATCAGATATTCGCATCCGGTTCCTAATACGTATACCAGACAGACGTGAGCATCTGCTCTATCCCCTTTTGTAACAGTAATGTTTCCTCCCATAATATGTGCCGGAATTATAGGGCATTGTTAATCCTTTGACTTTCGGAAATAAAAAAATACGTATTGATTGTTTGTACTCATCCTTATTTACTAGACCCTTGTCCCTATTATTTTATTGGGGTTGGCGCAATATATGAATATTATTCTATACTTCACTAACGAATATGTAAATTTTACTTTCTTCGTTAATAAATATGTAATGAAAAAAATAAAAAATTCTGCAACGTCTCCGTTGTTATACTATTTGGTTTGAATTTCATGATTTGTCTACAATTATTTAACGCTATTATAATGACTCGTGTTGTAATTGAATTATAAGAATAGTTTCAAATCCATGACAAGAATAGTGCAAGTATTTAAGGATGCATAATTATATTGTAAATGGCCAGTGGGAGATACTGAGTCCTTTATTTAACAGTTAAGTCACGTGCTTAAGTGGTTATTCACTGCAATGTATAATAACTATTCCACATTTTATTTATTGCTGATAGGGCTATCTAAATGGATTTTTATAGAGGTAATGGTATCGAGATGGTAATTTAAAAAAAACAACACTCCTAAGTCTATAAGATTCTTAAGCTAGCGACCCGAAGAAAAACCCGAAAAAAAATGCTTTCTAGACTAGGGGAACCTAGTCTAGAAAGCATTTAGTGGTACATTTTGGGAAATAATGACTCACAACATAAAAGTTTTAGTCAATTAGAAAACGATTTTGATCATGTGGGTATGACTAAGGGATTTGAGTCTTATTGTTGTCTACAACTTTAGGAAACGGAATCGTAGTTGCTAGAATTTCTTTCCTATGGGAAATGGAAAGAACTTTTTCTCTGTATACTACAATTATTGTTTAAATCTCGAGAACCCATTCAAAACCACATTTTAATAACATGTAATTAGTACATAATATTAGTTTTATCAGAAATTTTTTTTTTCTCGTTTTATTTTTTCTCGCGTGAATTATTTTCTCAGAAGGTTTGTTCAGAATTTCCGAACTGATCGGTCCATTTTAGTAGGTAGTCGTTAGATATTAGATATTATTTTAGATATTTACTATAAGGCACCGTTAAGATTTTAAATAAATTTATCAATATGATTCTATTATGGAAACCATGAGAACTCATAAAGCAAACAATTTGCCATCCTAGCAGTGTTCGTTTAAAACTGTATATCTTTTCTCTAAGACTAAATATTAGCTTAGAAAAGGCTAAGAAAGCTCGAGCATTGTATATAAACCTTCTTGTGAAAAATGTAACGTTAAATTTAATCAAGTAACCTTTTAGAGAGCTCTTTTTGGAACGCTAAAAATTTATCTACCACAGATACTCTCAGGATTTTTAGCGCCGATATATTGTATAATACATTAATGAATATTTATAATTTCTTCAAATGAAATGAAAGCAGTAGTTATTTTAAATTTAATCTTTAAAATAAATTTGGTAGATTGTTGGTCTGTGTTTTTGTCTGATTGAAGAGTACGAATCGATTGCGATTGTTTTCAAGAGTAATTGGGCTGGTCAGGATTCGAAGCGCTAAATGAGAACCGCGCGTGACCAACCGACGTGGCGATTTTTGAGGGAGGCCATTGTCCAGCAGTGGACGTTTTCCGGCTGACATGATGATGATTGTTTTGTTTACAGGCCGGCGAGTACCCTGGTGTCGGAACCGTGGATCCCGACTATGGGCAATACGTGTCATCGCCGGCCACACATTACAATCACATGGGCCACCTCACGATGGCACCATCGCAGAAATATCCCCATGTGAGTAACGTGTCTACTGATATAGTTTACTAATTAAGGTCTTAATATTACAATATTATTTAAAAACTGAAAACGGAAACCTGAATAATGTGATGGCTAGAAGTGGAGTAGCTTTGAATATTACGTCAGCATGTGCATATGTTGACGTGCATTCGCCGGCATGTTCATTCTGCGTGCATCTCTTTCTCACTACTTTTCCCGATTTGAATTTGTCCTCTTCCCTTTTACATTCTTCCTTCATTTCCCCTGAACAGTCCCCTTTTTTCTCTGTCTTTCGTGGTCTAGTCTCTTCTTGTGCACCAAGTGCCAAGGAAAGGATCAAGATTTTCTACCCGCGGGCTGCTTCTCTTCGTTACGAGTTCAAGGGTACGCTCTCGAATACCCTTGAACTCGTAACGAAGATATGTAAAGATCTACAAAAAGAACGCACACCTCCAAGCTTACTATCTACAAAAGAACTTTCATGCGTTATTTCCATTTACGTATAACAAGGAATGATAATCGAAATATTGTACCAAAGTTAGAGATTTTTTACTCATAATAATCTGCAAGAAACTCAACCAGGGCTTTTTTGCAGATGAGTTAGAAAGATTGAAATGTATATGTTTTCATAGGTTATGGACTCTGTATCTGTAAGCGGCGGTGGTACGTACGGTGGCGCGGGGGGTGCCGGTCATTACGGCACGTACGGGCATTACGGCGCCGCCGCGTATCAAGCGCAGCCCGCCTATATGGTCGAGCCACCACCACAAGTGCCCGCCTACATGGGACAGGTGATTATCGTTGTACATAAATAAAAATATTACATTACATGCATTGCACACATTGAATCAAAGTTAAATAGCTAAATAATCTTGTTGTAGATATCTTAAACAAAGAAAGAACCAGCATGTGAGCCATTCAAAGAACGAAAATAATTTAAGTGACCAGACATTTTTCCTATAATTAAAATTAAGTGACAGTTTTCTTTATTCATATTGTTTAATGTTATTCTTTGTCTTTGCTTTTATCTATTCTCTATACTCTTTTTTGCTCCACCATCTAACGTTATATACTATGGTCAGACGTGCATGCTTTTCGATATTATCCTCTCTTGAATGATTGAAATATTGTTTTATAGTAATGGGCAAAAATATGGATACATTATATTATACAGTAGAATCGGCCACTTCATCATCTTTATAAAATAGAGATAGATGATATAGAGATTTCGGTAGCTTACGGTGTCTCAAGAAGCCTAAACACAAAATACACATATACATACATATATATTCTCGTCATCCTTTCTTGTTTCCTTTAAAACGATGACGTTGGTTCATCATTTGTGAACTAAATAATCTCTTCTCTGGAATGTTTATATTACAAATTGTTACAGGAATACGTCGAAGGCGGAGGTAGTGCGTCGCCCAGAAGCGCATCTCCCGGCGCTTTGCCTCAACACAATTTACATTTACAACAGAGGCAAGAAATTGAACTTGATTTATTTTGATATACGGCCAGTGTGCTAATTGTCTAATTTCAAAATCTATTGCAATCCATTTCAAAAGTATCGGTATAGCAATATGATAATTATTTATGGAACTATGTAACATTTAAAGTCGCAAACACATATGGATATCATGATCATAAAACATAGTCAAACCAGTTGAAAGCAGTTTAGAAGTTAGCATTTAATGCTCGTTTTGACATTTCCAAATAATTATCGGCATTTTAGATAATTCTACTTAACGTAAAATTAACGACATCGACATCGTTCAAAATCTAAAAAAAAACAGTCGCTATCGCAATGTCAAATTCTTATATGTGAAGTTCGTGAATATCTTTCACGTGTGAAATTTTGCCCTTTTTAATAAAAAGACTACATTGTAATATGAATCTTATTGTTATTGTACTATGTACGATTATACAGGTACGATTCGACGTCGTTGGAGCAACTAGGTCGACATTATTGCGTGACGTCACCGCGCGGCGAGTACGCCACGGACGCGTACGGATACCAACACTATCCCACTGCGTACGATCCCCCACCCCACCAACCTCCTCAGTTCAAGGTAAACAAAATACATTTTCTTATAAACGGAAGACTTACAGTCAGTTGCACAAACGTCCATTAAAATTTTCTTTAGTTTAAAATGACATTACCCATACAAGTTAAATATTGATTAGAGCTTAAAGGCTTAATTAAACCATAATGGACGTTTGTACAACTGACCGTCACTTAGTAACTTTAAACCATTAACTGACCAAAATAAGTCAATGCGTCTCGTTTTGAAGTTTTCTCGTCTGTCATTGTCAGTGGTCAATGGTTTAAATCAAGTACAAAATTTTATCATTGTTTCATAATGATGATATACATTCATGTATACTATTCCGTGACCTTTGTATTGCTCTTAAATTAAATAATGTAGTATCAAATAATGCGTGTAACTCTTCTCATTGACTTAGAATTATTATTTGTTTTTATTATTGTAATCGCTTTTCTGCTATTCTATGCAAAGAAGATTATTCTAGTAGCCAGCCGTTCTTAATTATAGATTGAGTAATTAACGCGATTATGTTCTAGTTAAAACATTTCAGTTTGTTTATTGGATTGTTTTTTTTTATTAGAATTGATATTTATTATTGGTATTTTGTTACCCATCAGATAAGTTTAAGGCATAGTATTCGATCGATCCGCCCATTAAACGACAATTACTTTTTTTTATTAAATATAGTTTAATGTAAAGTTACACATTCATCATCATCATCATCAGCACTTTTATATCCCCACTTCAGGCGCTTAGGCCTTCCTTATGGATGGTTAAGGAGGATGGGCCATGATCCTCCACGCTGGCCCCATGTGGATTGGAGGGTATTAACGGTATAATGAGGGTATGACGGTTGAACGTGCCTTCTGAAGCACGGAGTAGCTCGAGATAATCATTTTTTGGTCACCCATCTCGTGACCGACCCTTGCGAAAGTTGCTTAACGACAACATTCGCAGGCTGCGGCGCTTATCCACTACGCCACCGAGCTACTCAGTAACACATTAATATGTGCTTTAATCATTTGCAGGATTCACAAAACGGATTAAGCTTGGGTAGTGCTGGAGGGCAATCGATGTATGGTGATGAGGAGGAGCTTCAGAAACAGATGGCTGGCATGGCATTGGGTGAATACGGTAAGCAGAGATTAGGGATTGCTGCTAATTCTATTTTATTTTTTTTATTATTCTAAGTTTTCGACTTAGAATGCTACGTTGTTAAAATCCATAAAAATATGACATCAAATAGCAATGAATTGAGAAAAGCTTACAATCGCTATTGCATCAGTTCTTTTAAAATTAATATTATCAGTTAGCGGTGCGATGCGATCAGCTTGGAAATTTCTTTTTTTTTCAATATGTTGGGAGATGACTTCTTATGATTAATTTAAATTAGCAATTTCTTATTTCAACAAACATCATAAATTAATATACACTGGATAGCAAATAAACCGGGCAACCCGCTATCTTGGAACTCTGATCCGATTTTCGCAAAAAGTATATAAGTTATACCTATCAAACTTAAATAATTTATTGGATTGCAAATAATTGAAAGATAATCTTGTTTTAAAATCCACTTGCCCCGGGTACTCTGACCGTAAATTATTTATTTATTATTCAGTTCACGGTGGTGTAGGGGGCCGTGAAGATGGCGGTGGTCTACAATGGCGTGATCCCAATTTACCTGAAGTGATCGGGTTCCTCAACTCCCCGTCAGATGTCGTGAAAGCGAACGCGGCCGCTTACCTCCAACACCTCACTTATATGGACGATCCCAACAAGCAGAAGACGAGGAGTCTCGGTGAATATACTCAATAATAAAAATGAAGAGTTTGTCTATGCGTATTAATATTTGGATTAACCGGTTTGATGAAAAAATCTACTACTAATTTGATAGCGCACTTGAGACAAGTTACATTTCCTTAGTTACACGGTATCGTTATGCACATATGTGATCCTTTATTTATTTGACAGGTGGTATCCCGCCATTAGTCCGTCTAGTGTCCCACGAGAACCCCGAAGTATGCAGGAACGCGTGTGGAGCCCTAAGGAATCTTTCGTACGGTAGACAGAACGATGAGAACAAGCGGGCGATTCGTGACGCCGGTGGCATACCAGCACTCATGGCATTACTATGCCGAGCTACGGATATGGAGGTAAAAAATTTTGGACCTTATAGTTCGACTTTCAATCGGTAAAATTAAATCAGTAAATGCAGTAAAATTACGTTTCATGTGTTACCTCTTTTTTTATGAAATATTAATAGTGACATACCAATTAAACGTTTCATTCAATTTGCATTCAGTTTACAATTTACGAATGTAGAATAACTTAACAAATCTAATTTTATTACTAATTATATTTAATTAATTTTACTGTTTTTAATTAAGTCTAGTATAATCCCTTGAGGCGGTTCGACAGTAAACAGCTATGTACCCAATATAATTCCTTGAGGTAGTCCGACATTTCTAATACTAGGGGTTTCTGACTGAACTCGATCAATTATTTATTGCGACAACATTCACACTGGAGCTTTTTGTCATGTTTAAAGTTGTAATATCAGTAATTATAATGCTGACTATCAAGTTTGCTATTTATCTTTCAACTTTTCATGTTGTGCAATCATAATAGTTTAGATACAAATAAAAATGAATTATTGAAAGAAATAAATATTGAAATAATAAATATAAGCGGCTATAATCGTTGTGTTGTAGAGGTGCAAACTTAAATATTATTTTCATTTCAATACAGATAGCTTAATATAGATAAAAATTACATTCTTATGAATAATAAGATAATCAATTTTTAAGGTTATCTTTAGTTATAAGTACGTACACATGAAGACACTTTGTCACAGAAGGCAGGTTGTCACACTATTTCTAATTCCCGCAGGTGATATAATACTCTACCCACAATAAATTAATGTTTAAAATTAAATTGAAAATATCAACAATTTGTATAACATAACGTGCTGATGTCTGTACAACATTTAAAATTATTTTCAAGGTGAAAGAACTGGTGACCGGTGTGATATGGAACATGTCCTCGTGTGAAGATCTGAAGCAGTCAATAATCGATGATGCGGCGCAAGTGATTGTGAACAAAGTGATCATACCTCACTCAGGGTGGCATCCAACCAATCCTGGTGACACCTACTGGTCTACAGGTAAGAATCGATATCCGGTCTTATCACATAGAGGTTGGAGGGTTAGGTAAATAGTGTATGTATATCTACTGCTTACTTGGGAAGGAATAGATATATAGATTTTTTTTATTTACAGTATTCCGAAATGCATCTGGCGTTCTTCGTAACGCTTCATCGGCTGGTGAATATGCTAGAAGGCGGTTAAGATGTCTCTCGGGATTACCCGAAGCCTTACTGCATACAGTACGCGCCGCTGTAAGAGCCAACGCCATCGGCACCAAGATAGTAGAGAACTGCGTCTGCGTGTTGAGGAACCTCTCATACAGGTAACACTAGCCTCTAATTATAATTTAGTTATGTAATTTTGTTTGGGATCTGTCTTTCAACCATTTTTCTTAATGGAAAATGCTTAACAAATCCACTTTGTCCCTTGAACTCTGAGATGGGACTCGAACCCATGACCTTTCGCAATCCGGGCGACTGAGTAGTACATTTATTTATTTATTTTATTTTATTCTTTATTGCATTTTAACACAATAGGCGGACTTAATGCCAAAGGCATTCTCTGCCAGTCTACCAGTAACAGATGTTGGAGTCAGGATGTTAGGCGATAAGAATAAAAAAGCAAAACACAAAAAAAACAGTGACCAAAAAATTATTACAACAAACAAATTGATAAAAGCATAATACTATATATACCAAAACAAATATATATGTAAATATAGATAAAATATAAATATATATACATCAAAAATATAGAATACAGAACGCATATGAAATAATTATTGTATATATAAAGATAGTGCTCATGCACCAATCTCTTAAAAACCATTCTACTCTGAGCAGTTTTAATATGAGCTGGGAGCTGGTACATGCGTACTTCTCTCGTTCAACTATTAATTATTTGATAGTTGAAAGCATAGTATTATTTTCTTTTCTTTGATCATGCTTATAACATTTTTGTCTCCTAAAATGTAATAATATAATGAGAAGCTCGTTTGTCAGCTTCTGTCCTAGGATTGGTGATAAAAACATATTATCCCAAGCTTTGTCTCAGAAAGCTTTGCTAAAGCTGCCAAAATTAAAATTGTGCATTGAAATTGTTGCAGATGTCAAGAAATAGAAGATCCATTATACGATACAAGAGCACCACCCACACAGTCTTCTGGTCAGGCGAGGATACAAGCTAGTGCATCTAAAGGTGAATACAGTATTGAAAGAAAGAACATGATTTATTCAGCTACATTTACATAAAATATATAAAGAGAAAACAATCATTTTCATATTAAATATTGAAATTGATCCAGTAGTTTAGTATTCAATGCTAACAAAAAAGTCTTTTTTTTAACAGGTTCAATGTTTTTGAAATATATTAAATGCACACAAACAATCATTTTTATAACATCAGTATGTATATGTATTTATTTTGTATAGGTGAAAACCTCGGCTGTTTCGGCGGCAGTAAAAAGAAAAAGGAAGGTTCATCGTCATCTAATTCCACCAGCCCCTTGGGAAAAAGTGAACCGGAATCCCAACCGCTGGGCGACTCAGCAACCACGCAACTGGGATACAGTGTGCCTAAAGGGACAGAAATGCTGTGGTCACCAGAGGTATTTATTACTATATATAATTATCCGAGGGCGGAATGTTAGTTCAAAAACTAGAATACAAATATTTATTTACTTTCCATCCAATGTATACAAAGTAACACGTTGCATCTTCGACGTTGCATATTCTTGTATAAAGCGTTGTCATCGCAATTTTCATCCCCGATTTTAACTCCGTTAAGTTTATTTATGGCGATAAAAACTATCCTATGTCCTGTCTCGTCTACTTTGTTTATGTAATGAATTACATTATAAATAATTCACTAGTTTAGGCGAGAAACGTAATAGATACACAGACTTTTCTGTTTAATCATAGAAGCGTTATTAGCATACAAGTTAATTGAAATTTCCACAATTTGTACCTTTTATAGGTGGTGCCATTGTACATGGCGTTGCTGCAGACGTGTTCGAACCCGGAGACGTTAGAAGCTGCGGCGGGAGCGTTACAGAATCTAGCAGCTTGTTATTGGCAGCCCTCCATCGATATTAGAGCTGCTGTCAGGAAGGAGAAAGGTATTTGTTAGCTATCTTACTATTGTCATTCGAATTATATCGATTACCATGGACATCACTATTTTCCGATTGCGTTGCAGGCATCACTATCTGTCAGTGCGCTGTCACTGTAACTTTGACATTTACGTTAGATGAGTTTCGCGTCAGTATACCGCCGAGTTGTGGAATGTTGTAAAATTATTGGAATTTATACACTAAAATAAATCAATTGAATAACAAAAAAAAATCACTATGCATTAAATATTTTCGATTTGTGTCCATTCCTTAAGGATTAATAGGTGGATAATAAAATTAAAAAATTAACAAAACATTCTTTGAATCTGCCTTTGTGAATTAAATATATGTTTAATTGTTTATATATGTAATTGTGCACGTAATAGTAGATATGCCTGTGATCTGTGATATGAATATAATAGAATCGCTGACGTAATAATAGAAAGTAATGACGTATTAATAAAAGAATTGAATGTTCAAAACATTAAATTTATTTGAGCTTTAAAGTAGCACCCATCTAACATACTAGATAACTTTAGAATCTCGGATATCCATGTTAGGATAATATTATGTTTGAGATTATTGGCTGAAAATAGCTCGACCTATTACAATTAATGTTATAAAGAATGAATTAATAGTAAAAAGTTTAAGAAACGATTGAAGCCGTATCTCTTTTTATTATTTATATGAAATACGCAGTGATTTAATTCAAGACTCAAGAAATTTTTTGCTTTTTGACTAATTCAGGTCTTCCCATCTTGGTGGAGTTACTGCGAATGGAAGTGGACCGCGTTGTATGCGCTGTCGCAACAGCGTTACGCAACCTCGCCATAGACCAGAGGAACAAGGAGCTAATAGGCAAATACGCGATGAGGGATCTCGTACAGAAGTTACCTAGCGGGAATCAACAGCACGATCAAGTGAGAATATATAATAAAATAAAAATTATTAAATATATCAAACATAATAATTTTTAATTACCAAACCTTTAAGGAGATCAATAGCATATTTAAATCGTATATTATCAATGTCAGATCTCTAATAATTTTGCTTAAGCTGAAACGATTTCGTACCTTCTGCGTCAAAATAATGTTATCGAAAATTGTCCGTAGTAATATACAGCTCATTTATATTTTAAGTGTTAATATTTTCAGCGAGTTTGTGAGTTTCTTAAGCCCGTATTCTTATCAGTCAAAAGACGTCCTGAATTTAAAGTTTTGGACGAATCAAAAGTGCCTTCAATATGTTTATTTGGACATGAAATATTTTCTCTTACTGTATATACTTCTATAAGTATGGTAATGATTAAATGTTCTTTTTTTTTCAAATGAAACTTAAGAGCCACAATTTACATCGAAGGAGCCACTGTAGGCGACTCCTGGATTATACTCATTCCATTGATTACCGCATCACTTGGTATCTGAGTGAAGGTGTGGAATGTTGTTATTACACAACGTGTAATATTTAGTTTATTTACTTTCCTTAGCAGGGTACATCGGACGACACGATAGCAGCCGTATTGGCGACACTCAACGAAGTTATAAAGAAGAGTGGGGAGTTCTCACGGTCATTATTAGAAGCGGGAGGTGTCGAGAGGTTGTTGAACCTAACGAAACAACGCCACCGTCACACGCCTAGAGTATTGAAGTTTGCAGGTAAGAGGATTTAATTATATGTCGACTAGCTATGTTCTGTGTAACTACTTACCACTTATGCAAGGCTACATTGCGCATAGTAGTAAAGTAAATTGTAATCAAAATTGCGGAACAGGCAAATCAAGTTGTTGCGAGTGTAACCAGCAGGTCAATACGCGTGTAGACAGTAAACGGAAATAAATACATATTATTATTTTTTTCTGAGAGTGTTTAATATACCATTACCGATTATAACACTTTTATGTTTATTATATTTATAGTATCGCTTAAATTAATTATGAAAAAAAGAAATATTTTTTATCTCTTAATTTATTTTAAGATTTTAAAATTATTAAACGAATGAGAATTAAAAAAAAAAATCAGATATAGTCATGCATATCTATATAAAATAAAAATATGAAAAAAGTTGTCTACACCCTTATATTACCAATATTTACATAATAATCGAATCTAAATAGTCTCAACTATTTACATTTTGTCATTGCAGTCTAATATTATTACATACCTGTCAACATTGTGAGAAATACATTAAACTAATAATATTGGACTTTAAGTAGATAGTGCAATGGTAAAATGTAAGTCATTGATATTCTATTGAGATGCAATTATTACGTAAACATTAGCAGAATTGGCCTGCTGTACTCATGTTTACTGACATATGACGTCACAGCTCGAAATGTCACGAGGCTGATTGTTTTCGCAGGACAATTTAAATTGATAAGTAAAAATGTCTTCTCTGAGAAAAATAAATCTGATTGTGTTTTGATATGATCGTATGCGTGTTTTAAGATACTTTTTCTCAAAAAGCCAAGTAACCATTATATAAACATTATGGTATTTTATTTTCCAGGTCAAGTGTTAATGACTATGTGGTCGCACGCGGAGTTGCGTGAAGTGTATCGCAAACACGGGTGGCGTGAAGCAGACTTCCTTACGCCTGCGCGTGCGGCGCAACCGCGCGGCTCATCCAATAGTAGCGGTTAGTTATATTCAACCTTATTTGTATACTAATAGAGTTCAGTTTAGTATAATTACTTTTTCTTGTAATTATTAATTTTTAGTATTTGGTAAGAGATTGAATTCTATAACCAACCCAATTAGCTCTAATAGTACTAATTGAAGTTTGATATTCTGAGTGTTTTGTTGTTGAAATTTTGACATTAAATCATAATGTGTATTGCTCCTGGGTGAAATATTTTAAAATATAACCATTAGTAACTAATGCATAAATGGTAAGTTACTATAGGCAGCTCTGTAGTTCGAAGCAAAATGCTGCTTAAGCAGTAGTAATAAAGTTCAAGATAATTACCGCAAAGTCTTCGTCGAGAGACACAACCACAAACGGACTTGAAACTTTGATTATTTCGGCACTTATCTTGATGTCGTAGAATTAAATGTGTTTCAGATTATTAACATTTTAATGTTGTTAAATATCGGGAATGCGCCTGCTTTGTTCATCGCTTCTGGAATTCCAGAAAATATATAAGTGTGTCACAATTGTATATATGTGTAACTTATGTTATATAAATATAAATGTGTCTGATATAAACGTTTATACAGGCGTGCGTGTTCATCGCATAACCTCATTTCATTGCTGGAATCTTCTCGGCACATTATAATAAAATAATGACCAGATTAAAATTCTTCTTCTTTTCAAAATAAATTTCATCGATGTTGTTGTATATTTAAATATAAATTAATATGTCAATAACAAAGTTAGTTGTATGACGTAGGATACATAATTACGAGTGATATTAATAAACAAAATTTTGCTGTTGCCGTAGCAACAGCTGATCAACGATTGTTTCAAACTTGATAGTGGCGCCCTCTTCAGAGATAAAAGGCAAAAAGTCACGCTTTGTATTGAGAAAATATTTCAAATATGTGTGTTATATAAAATATAATTATAATAAAAAAAACATCGTGAGCTTGATCAACCATATCTTATGATTTTGCCCCCTTTGAAACCACTGATACGTGGTAACTTTGGCATAAAAATACCCTATATTACGGAGTTCATCGTATATACTGCGTATCGCTGCATATCATCACTACATAATATAAAACAAAGTCGCTTTCTCTGGTATATATCCAATATCCCTATGTATGCTTAAATCTTTAAAACTACGCAACGGACTTTGATGCGGTTTTTTTTTCATAGTTAGGGTGATTCAAAAGGAAGGCGAAGCCGCTGGCGGAAAGCTAGTACAGTATAAGCATTCGGCTGATGAAAAACTATTTAAAATTGCTAAGGTATCTTTCGAGTGTAAAGAAAAATGTTATTGAGAATAAATCTCATCTCGTTGGATTTTTTAAATATTAACATGTAATATTAATAATTCTTCCCACAAATCGATCATGTCGCAAAACTGTCCCTTGCCTTCAAAATAATAATCTAACAGAGCATTTCTGTGCACTAAATCATTTCTCTTTTCATTTGAGCTTCTTTAACTACGTTTTCATCACAATTCTTAACTTGTATTTATGTAGACAAATTGTGAAAAAAATATCGTTAAAAATTGTGACGAAATCGCTGCTAAAGCCAATAAGTACTGTTCATTCATTACCATCGAAGTGATTGCTTAATTAATGAAATAAACAGAACTAATGAATACATTACATATTATTATATAACACTTGAACACATACACAGATATAAGCTACGGGATAAAGATCTGCTAATATTCTCATATTAGATCTATTTCCAAGTTTTAGTGCTCTTGACATAACTTACTAGGAAACGATCAGGTTCTGCTGAGATTTCCAGAGCTGTTCTTGGTTCAATATATCTTTGGGGTAAAAAAAATAGTTTGTGTGAAACAATGATTAGGTATATGCCATTCTACTGTTGAATTAATTTTTATAATCGGTTCAGTATTTGTTAAGTTTGTCCATTACGATCCATTTCAATCAATAAATAAAATATATATTCTCTTTATATTAGTCAATGAAGTATTTGATATACTGTCATGCATTTATTGAAAGATGCATTACATTATGGTTAAAAAATTTAAAGTTGATAAAATCAAGTCAGTTCCAAAATAATGCAGTAATACAATAGTTAAATTAAATGCAAGTAATTTTAAATTTAGAAATGGGTCGATCGATTGGGTTCAAATTAAGTAAGTCTTCTTGCATTTTAAAATGCCCCTATGGGAATGCTTTCAAAATTCAGAACGCTGTGCCCTTATGGGAAAAATTAGGATATATCCCGAGAAAGTAGAACAGTCAGCAAATGGAGGGTACATTACACATACATATAGTTACACACATTCGATAAGAGTTAGAACATGTTCTGTGCTATCGTGTAGTGAACGGACAGTGCTTGCCATGCTCGTATTACATGGGCATTGTTTGGCTGGCTACGTATACGTGTACATATGTGGGTGTGGGGCACAGGTCAAGGTACACCGATGTCAGGTGCCGGCGGCGCTCCTCACTCGCCAAGCAACGCGAACAGCACCCTCAGTAGACCGATGGCGTCCACGGGTGGCACCCGGTACGAGGATCGAACGATCCGTCGACACCGAGAGGTAAATTAGACCTTACGCCACACGTCATTACGTATACTGTTACGAATACAGGTGGTGTGCTCGACAGCAAGACTGTTTGAGTAGTGGAATTTGTTTTGGATAATTGTAAAAAGAACGTGACTTAGCCATGTTTAATCTAATTTATTTTAATAAAATATATAAATGCGGTTAATATAATATTAAGTACTGTTTAGTGGTGTAAATTAAGTAAAGTAAAAATATTGTAGAATATTGTAAATTGAAAATTTTAATCGTACACATTTGTCGAATGTTCGAATTATCATATGCCGTCCTAGTAAGGAGAAGTCAGCACTAATGTGTATGGTCGGTATAGCATATCAGGTGGCACATAGATTCACTTTTACTTTGCGTACATTGTCACACATTCAAGCTTCAGTCACCATAATAACAAATCAGTCTGCTTCTACGCACCATTAGAAATGTAATTTTGTAAAAAGCTTTTGATTAAGTGCGAGTTATGCTTGTGACGTTTGTCATGTTTTTGGATTTTATTAATTTCATTACTAATTATAAAACCTCTGCGTCAACACTGATATATTGTTTTGTTTTCGATGTTGTATTTCAAATACTCACGTTAAATGAAATCGACCTTTGTTGTAAAGCATAGAGTCGATATTAGCGCGCTCCAATGAACTGCATGAAAGTTTGTTATAACACAAACGATTATGTATGATGTATATCTATCTATAAAGGTATTTTTTTATGCATATATACTTTTACAGAACGATGACACGATGGACGCGAATAATTATCAAGACGGCCTCGGTATGGGCAATCCGAACGGGCGGCCAATGAATTTGCAAGGTGTCCAAGCGCAGATGCCAATGCCGCCCAGCAGTCGTTAGTCTCCGCGCGACAGTGAGCCTCGCGAAACCCACCTTATGGCAAGTAGTTAAGAGCGTTTTTTTAATGTACTCAATTAAACTATCATTGTACATTTCGTGTTATGTTCACCAAAGAATTGTCTCGAAGATAGACAGGACGACTACATTTTTTGACAACCGATATAATATCTGCAATCTGTTTTGAATACGAGAAGTTGTCAAATTAATGTAATATAGATCAAAATGTAATGCAAAACAATATTTCGTTGAATGTTTTATTTTATATAAAATGAACTTTATGTTCCTTGCCATAAGGTTTATTGTTAAATGCTATATGCCGCTTTGTTTGTTTTTGCACCATTTTCTAAGTATATACTTTTGGTATTAAGAGCGATACTGTTTTATTTATTTAAAAATCTAACAACAGATTAGCAAGATCGGATTGTAGTACAATTTACATGAATGGCAATTTAGCAAATATTTAATATAATAATACCCACGACAGCTTAGAGAAATCAAACTATGTACTTTGCCTTTTTTATATGAACTGATCTTATATCAGCTAAATTTTAATGTTATGTGTTGTATTCTTAGCCTTATTTTTTGAAATTGGATATTCAGATGCAAATATACCTAAAGTTATGATGTTGGCTATGCAAAGCACTTTTTAATCAGAAGAATCACTCCATTCCAAGATCTATAAGAAGTGTTTACTTCATAAGATTTAATAAGCCCGATTTGATGCAAATCACAGATTTTCCTATAGCTTCACTATCATTAATTTTTAACGAAGCAAAAACAACATTATTACGTTGTAACAAATACCAAATCGAGCCTATAAAACCTTATCGAATAGCATTTATAACTGACAGTAAATGATTCCTGGTTGTACTGTGCACAAATAGCAATTGTGCTTTAGTACAATGTGTAATAGAATTTGCATAAAGCAGCTGTGACATGAGGTAAAAAAATCATGAAAATTGTATGATATAATTCATGGGTGGCCTAGAAGAAGCCGCTTCTATTTATTTATTGTAAGGTTAAAATTGACTTTAGTAAATATTCTTCCGAATATCCAATCTATAAATTATTATACAGCGGCGAAGTTTGTAACCTGATTCACTCTGAATCCTATTTATTCTAGGTACTGTGGATTATCAAAAGTACTTTATTGATATTCGTATAAGATACATAATCGGGTTATTGTCTTTGTTGCCATACAAAATCCAGAAAACACCAAACAACGGATACTTTTATACTAATGACTTAACTGTAATTGGTAGTTCTTATATGAACATACAGTTTTGATAAGGATATTAACACATTCATTGACAACTTTGTTAAAAAATTAGCAGTATTAAATAGTTGCAGACACTTTGAACTTTGTTATTATAGGCAAAGTGTCGATTCGACCGTATGTATTCGTTATATAAACAGTTTAAAAAAGTTTCTAATGTGTGTGTTAATATCTATACAATATACATTTTATTTATGTCGGTTTATTTGCAATCTTTATACTTATATTATCTAATATATTAATGATATCAACTGAAGTTGATATACGAAAATCAATCTTAAACATTCCAACGGCATTAACAAATAATAGTTTGTATATGAAACTAATTAATGGTTTCGCTAAAAATAATCAATCAAATCCTTTGTTGCTAGTAGTGGGAGATTTAATCGTGTTCTAATGATTTTTATTTCTTATTTTATTAAAATTGTGACAGCGGACCTTTAATATAAAGCCATATAAGCATTACAGTATTCGTACTAGAGAGAAGATACATAGTGAATAGAGGTATATAAAACTATTTCCTAAATATTATGGATATAGGTTTTGTTCCATTCTTAAATATTATGATTCAAGGGCGCATGATTATTTATTTATTTTTGCCGCATGGCCTAATGATTCGTCAGTTGTATTCGTGCTAGCGGTACTTTGTAAAGAGATCATGTCAATTCCCCATGTACATATACGTGCCATTTGTGTATTTAATTAAACTAATGAAAAGGGGGTTCCTGTAATCTATTACTCTATTATCGAGGCTCACCGCGATTCGACTGAGTATTTATTGTTATTCTGTATCTCTTTCATATAGCTCTACCGGGATAGGGATAGGGATAACTTTAAATATTCATTTTTTTAATGTAATCATAACTACTGAATGATGAACTACAACATACATTTAATATTGGGATTTGAATATTATTGTTATTATTTATAATGTATTAGTAGAATTCACTTTGCCCTGACGTTATTATTACGAATCAAACGAAATTGCTTATCGAATTTACAGATTTTTTTTTATATATGTAGGTGCGATAAGTTTTCGTTTGTTTCATGTCGGGTCGTCATAGATTAAATATGATAATGATAGAATTTTGTAATATTTTATATCCATTCCACAACCCTCTACGAATAATTGTAATATAGGTGTCTAATGTCCTCTTATATACTTAAGGAGTATCCGTCTTATATTTAGCGTAAGATGCATCATCGTGGGACGTTCTAGATCTTTTATTTGGATTATTTTGCAGACTGTACTCTGTATTAATGGCAGCGTTCAATTGGTAAGTCTCATTATTAGTCAAACTTCGTAAGTTGAAGGCCGGATTAACGGACAAAACAGTTTAAATATTAAAAATACGAGTTTTACGAGTGTTTATTTGTAAAAAAGCGCTTACCTCTACGTAGTTTGACTGATGTATCCTCCAACATTAAGTTCCAATGGGAACTTATTAATTATATCGCAGCTACTATATTGGTGTACTATCAATGATCTCGTCGTCATATTTACAGGTTCAAAGGAATTATGGTTCCAATCTCTCTGTAGATTTAGTTGATTTTTGATTATACAAAACCAATGATATCGATATCGTATTTATAAGAAACCTTAATACGATGTGATAAGGATCAACATAGGACGTTATAAAGTCATATCGGGCAATAATATTTCCATGACTGTTAGAACTTATTTTTGTCCTTTATTCGTAACAAAAAACGTCTGTAATGTCTTGTTTACATTACTTTTCCCTCCGTTTTGATTTTAGTTAATATTATAACTATTTATTTTATAATAACATTATTGTAAGGTTATATAGACGATAAATGTAAGGGTTTTTGTGACAAGCGTTTTTTGATATATTTTATGCACAACAATGCATTTCGATACGTCCGCGAGATGGACGATTGACTGAATAATCTGGTACAAAACTACCCTCATTCAGTGCATTATGATGTTTTAAATACCCGTCAGTGTAAGTTTTTGTATGATATTTTTAAAAATGTAAGTGATTGTACAACATACTTATTTGATTACAGTCTGCTTGCCAGGTTGACGTCGCTTCTATGAAGCGATCGTTTAATCTAAATAATTTCAAATATTTCTTTTTCTAAGTTAATATTAGTTATTATCAGTGGTCGGAATTAGGTAGAGTTATTCATGTACTTACACTGATTTCATAAAGCGAAAGAATAAAGTGTATATGCCTCAAATCCCGAGATTAATTTTAAAGAGCAGAAAAAATCCCGTGATTTTTTAAATAAAAAGTTATTTACTTTTACACAATTTAAACTACTGCACGTACGACATTGCCAAACTTACATTAATGAAAGAAAGAAATAAAGAAATCCCGGGTAGGTCCACATGAATATCAACATTTCGATGTAAGTACATAAATAATTCTACCTAATTCCGACCTCTGGTTATTATGTACCAATAAATATTTAAACTTCTTACTTTTTCATTTAACGTGTTTTTAGGTGAGAATATTAGGTAATTGTATGTAGGCATTATTAGAGTACTATGTTGTTTTGATATGATATGTTTTAATTCTGTATAATTCTAAATGAATCAAGTAAATGTAGAATTTGTATAGATTTATTGATGGTTTATTTTTGCATTTTCTTTGTCTAACATATTAAAAGATCTCTAGAAATATAATTTATAAATCTTATCACCATAAATCAGAGATCTTACCTAGTAGTGATACAACCACAGTTTAAAAAATAAAAATATTTTATTAGTCTATGGTCAACCATAGACTTTAGAGTTGTTAGAACAGTAATACTCGATTATTTATATTTTATTTAAAAATTTTATTATGAAAAATTATTTATATATCACAGTCTTCTTTTGTCGTTACGACTATAGAATGTCTAATAGATGATAGCTTACGTCATGTTGTATGTAGATTGTAATAAAACATTATTCTCTCTTCAAGATACTTATAATTAAAGAAAATATTATATTATTATCACTATCACAGAGAATTAAATGAATGATTTTTTTTTATTTTGTTTTCTTTTATTTCTATCTATTTTGGTTTCCTAATTTATATTATTTTTAGTTTTACGTAGGTGTATAAAGTGTTATTTGATCATAATTTGAGATTTTATGGATTTGTGAAAATCACTGAACGAGACTATAGCTGGAATTAAATTTTGGAAATATTTTTAAAAACATTTGAAGGGTACCTAAATTTTGATAGTTTCGTTATATATGGCTTCCATGCTGTGTTTCCTTTATTAACTTCATCTAGTTGTTACAATTCGTCGAATTAGATATTTTTTACTGAGTAATGATAATTGAATATTAGTAAAATGTAGTTATAGTAGGTGAAATTAAGATTTTTTTTGTGTTTTTTTTATTTGATGATGTTTACTAGAGCTTACAATGGGCTTTGGTTAACATTATTAGTCAAATAATACCGGTATAGCTAACGGATTTAGTTACTAAGACTCGTATTGGCTAACTAATACTCTGCAGAGGTAACTAATAACGTTTTTAACCAACTAATACCGGTATATAATCTGAAATGAAAATCTTGATCAAAAATGTTACTATATGAAGGTTAACAGTAACAGGATTGGTAGGCGTTACGTGCATTTTGAACAAGTATTCAGATTTGGGTTTTTACGTTATAACAGCATTTTGTCACTAAAATATGTGAAAAGAGTATTGTAGTAGTAACTCTTGTTTACTTTTTTTTTATATAGAATTTTATTCTAGACTATA